TCCTCCTTTTTCTTTTTAAATTTATTCCATTTTAATTAAAACATAGTGTATACATTTTAATAAATACATTCACTTTTTTGTAGTTTATAACATGACAACACAGAGTTGTCTGCAGTGTATTTTGTTGTTGGGGAGAGTATTGTATAGATATATATTTAGGTCTAATTGATTCATAACAGTGTTTTCAAGTCAGTGTTTCCTTGTTAATCACAAGCTGTTTTCTAAATGGTATTGAAGGTAGCGTTTCTGTCAGATTTTCATTTTCATGTATTTCAGAACTCCACCATTAGGTGGTTATGGTAATAATTACTCATGTATTCCCGATGCCCTGTTCTTTTATCATTAGCGTGAACTTTATTCGTTGTAGCAGAGTTGCAGTAATGTTTATTTTATCAGTATAGTGATCCAAGTTTTCTTTTTCACATTGTTTACATGGTACATCTCTTTCCAATCTATTTTCAACCAATTTATACCTTGGTTTTTATAAAGCTTCTCTTGTAGCAAATTTATAGATTTATGATTTTAACATATGCTACCAACTTTTGTCTTTTTTTTTTAGCAGCACGAACAGAGTAAAAGTAAGAAAGAACTCCTGAGAGTGTAAGGGGCTCCAAGGGAAAGTCTCCAATTTGTGCCTTTTAAACGCTTTCCATTTATCCACTCACCCACTGATGGATATTTAGGTTCATTCAGTAAAACAATAATGCCTTAGTTACTGTAACTATGGGTGTAATGAAAAGAGCAATGAATGTATGCTTTAAGCACAGTGATTTGATTTTCTTCACAAACAAATAATATATACACATTTGTGTACAAAACAGAATACTATTTAGCCTTCAAATAGGAAACATTGTTATTTTCAACATTATGGATAAAGTTGAGAGTTATGCTAAAAGAAACAAGCTAGACACAAAGACAGATATTTCATGATCTCATTAAGATCACTCAGAAAAATTTGGTCAGGAAAAAACTGCTCAACTCATTGAAACAATGTGTAGAACTGAATTTTACATAGCCAGGAAATGGAGATACATTGGTTAAAGAGTACAAAATTCCAGTTAGTCATGATGAATAAATTAAGGATCTCTATTGCTAGAACATGATAGCTAAGCTTAATGTACTGTGAATAATTAAAAATTGCTAGGACACTAACTCTTAAATGTTACTGTCACAAAAAGTTATGAGCAAGTTAATTACCATGATTTAATCCTTTTACTGTAGGTATGCATGTCAAACATGTTATAATCAGTGTGTGTGTGTGTGTGTGTGTGTGTGTGTGTGTGAGTGTGTGTGTGTGTGTGTGCGTGTGTGTGTGTGTTTCTTTTTTTTATCACTTGTGCCTTAATAAAATTGAGGGGAACTTCTTTAAATAATATACTCATATTTAATTAAACTATA